GGGGACCTTGCGGGCACTGCAGGATTTCAGTCCATTGCGGCGTAGTGTGTTACCATTGTTTTGCTTGGTGACTGTGGTCCCAACTGCCTTAAGATCATTAACAAGCTCCTCTCGGGGCTGACGGGGCTGATCCCACACCTTTCTCATGATCATTCTTACCCCATGAGGCGAGATCTTGCACGACCGAGGCCACATACCGCCAAGGCAACAAAGGAGTGGCTCAAGAAGAAGCACATTAAGGTCATGGAGTGGCCTAGCCAGTCTCCAGACCTCAATCCTATAGAAAATCTGTGGAGGGAGCTGAAACTTTGAGTTGCCAAACTACAGCCAAGAAACCTTAAGGATTTAGAGAGGATCTGTAAAGAGGAGTGGATCAAAATCCCTCCTGAGATGTGTGTAAACCTGGTGACCAACTACAAGACACGTCTTACCTCTGTTCTTGCCAACAAGGGTTTCTGCACCAAGTACTAAGTCATGTTTTGCTTGGGGATCAAATACTTATTTCACTCATTGAAATGCAAATCAATTTCTAACCTTTATATAATGTGTTTTTTCTGGATTTTTTGGTTGATATTCTGTCTTTATCTGTTAAAATAAACCTACCATAAAAATTACAGACCCTTTATTTCTTTGTAAGTGGGCAAACTTACAAAATCAGCAGGGGATCAAATAAATATTTTCCCCACTGTATTTTGATAACTTTACTTACGTGCAATTAAAGCTACACTAAGTAAGTTTTGACACACTAGTGGTTCAAACATAACTTGTAGAGGAACATTGTTTTGGTGACTTTGAGTTGTGCTTCAGCTCCACTATTGTGCACAGATGAATGAATACATAAGCACCATAATGTGCGAATGTCACTAACAACATCAAAACTACCTGACTCCAAAAATAAATAAATACATACATACATACATACATAAAAGACAGATATCCAGAAAAAAAATTACAAGAAGGTACAGTAAGTAGCTTTTATGGTGCTGTTGTTTTGCCTTATTTAAAACAACCTTTTTTTTTTTTTTTTAGTTACAAAAGTTGGGCATTAGACATAACGATTGCTATTCATATCAGATAAAGTAAACATGGAAACAATTACAGCTTGGCTAGTTAATTATAATTATAATAAGTAATTAAAGGCAAATACCAAAGTTTAGAGATTGACTTTTTTATGAACCTAGTAAATGTGATGCTATGCAAACTAAACATATTTTTTAAAAGCCAAACCTTGTTGTTTTAAGTTTTATTACAGGCATTGCTTTTCCTTTCACTTGCAATTCATTTTCAGTTTGACGTTAATTGGTGCTGCTATGACACTTTCCACTGCATACAGCAGTAACCTGACCTTCTTTCCTTTATTTATGAATATGACAAACATGCACAGACAAATGACGGAAGCATGCAGTTTCCCGCTAAATCTAAAATTTAAATAATTTTTATAGGCTTACTGTAGAGAATCAGGGTAAGTTGTTGTAGTTTCCTCATGACAGTTGACGACTCCATTATTATTTAAAGGTATTATTATTCAGAAACTGCCTGCATGCACAAATCGCTTATGCATATTTGTTCAATATTAAGTTATTCAGAGTTACACAAGATGATGTTCTGTTTATTTAATGCTTTGGGAGCAGACAGTTAAAAAGGGAGTAAAAATACCAATGTTAATCACATTAGCTGATGCTGGCTCTGAGGGTTCAGTCTCAATATGCTAAATCTGTGTTCAAAGCTTTGCAATGCCCTTTGTAGATTTGCCTTCCTAATCCAGCAATCTTTTGTGTTGCTTCACAAACCTCGAGAGGTAAAATATGAAAACACCCAGCTGGGATGTCGGGCTAACACGCGCTGTAGAGCGCACTGCGTGGCTAAATCTACGCCTGTGTCTAAAGATATGCCCGCTCCAATCCAGCTTTAAACTCGGCCACTTTATGGAATTGAAGAGTCTTTTTTTCCTGTCTATTTTTTTTTTTTTTTAGTTACAAAAGTTGGGCATTAGACATAACGATTGCTATTCATATCAGATAAAGTAAACATGGAAACAATTACAGCTTGGCTAGTTAATTATAATTATAATAAGTAATTAAAGGCAAATACCAAAGTTTAGAGATTGACTTTTTTATGAACCTAGTAAATGTGATGCTATGCAAACTAAACATATTTTTTAAAAGCCAAACCTTGTTGTTTTAAGTTTTATTACAGGCATTGCTTTTCCTTTCACTTGCAATTCATTTTCAGTTTGACGTTAATTGGTGCTGCTATGACACTTTCCACTGCATACAGCAGTAACCTGACCTTCTTTCCTTTATTTATGAATATGACAAACATGCACAGACAAATGACGGAAGCATGCAGTTTCCCGCTAAATCTAAAATTTAAATAATTTTTATAGGCTTACTGTAGAGAATCAGGGTAAGTTGTTGTAGTTTCCTCATGACAGTTGACGACTCCATTATTATTTAAAGGTATTATTATTCAGAAACTGCCTGCATGCACAAATCGCTTATGCATATTTGTTCAATATTAAGTTATTCAGAGTTACACAAGATGATGTTCTGTTTATTTAATGCTTTGGGAGCAGACAGTTAAAAAGGGAGTAAAAATACCAATGTTAATCACATTAGCTGATGCTGGCTCTGAGGGTTCAGTCTCAATATGCTAAATCTGTGTTCAAAGCTTTGCAATGCCCTTTGTAGATTTGCCTTCCTAATCCAGCAATCTTTTGTGTTGCTTCACAAACCTCGAGAGGTAAAATATGAAAACACCCAGCTGGGATGTCGGGCTAACACGCGCTGTAGAGCGCACTGCGTGGCTAAATCTACGCCTGTGTCTAAAGATATGCCCGCTCCAATCCAGCTTTAAACTCGGCCACTTTATGGAATTGAAGAGTCTTTTTTTCCTGTCTAGAGAAAGCATGTACAGGGCCAAATCAGGTTTTGGACATGTGTTCCTCCTCTGCTCAAGCCAGGAAGCTTTGGAGCTAGCGCTGAATTCTAATGTGGATCAATGTGAGTGATGATAAACTGCTCTGCCTCGCCACACCTCACAGACTGTGAGACAGTCCTTTCCTCCTCCTCTCTCTCTTCCTCCCCTACCAAAGCCAAGAGAGCGGAAAACACCACAGTCTTGGCACATGCCCTCTCCTGACAGGCAGCAGCTCATTAAAATGGAACAAGAACGAAGATCAAGGAGCATTTAACACTCAACTTACATGTAATGAAAGTCAAAAACGATTCACTGAGCAGCTGTACAACTTTAACTTGTTCTCACAAGAGAAGACTAAAATTCAGCCCTCATTGTGTTTCCATTTCCATTTATTAATTTTTTATTCAAAGAAACTCTGGATAAATTTCACTTGATGTTCATTCACTGAAGAGCTAAAAGCAAAACTAGAGCACTACTTAAACTCCTTACCAGAGTTCGCATTGATCAGGTTGTTCTTCTCAAACCTGTGGGAGAAACAGAAACATCTGAGTGAATGATACACTTCAAATCAACTGACACAAATCTTTTAGAGGACTTCTTCACAGCAAGTATCTGAAACTGAAGTTCTTGATGCACACACTGTGAAGCCCTTAATCTCCACTTGAATCATCATGTTTTTCCTGATGATGCTGTTCAAATGATCCTAAAGAATAGCTACAATGCACATGCATGCAGACTCTTTTATCCCCCTCTCAACATTCAACATCTCAAGAGATTAATTGAGCAAAAGAATGATGACTACAAATGAGCTTAATAATATTCTTCTCTAAGAGCAAGAGAAGAATTGAGACGAGAACCCAAACTCTGTGAAGGTCACTGCAATGCTATTTGTGTGACATGAGGTCTGTTTGACTTCATATGGCACTGCGCAGGACGATCGGAGTCTTGAGCAGGGCATGTTGGTTAGAAATTTGGTTTCGACTTGGTGCTGATGCCATCAAAGTACCACAGGAGCGATTCGAGAGCAGTCGGCTGGATCAGCCAGCATAATTTTTCCAGAGTGGCTCCACGAGCAGTGATGATAACAGCCATTTCACAATTTGGTCAGACTCACCGATGGTGTGCATTTCATGTATATTCTCACAAAATATGTGTTTTTATGCTCACAAACCAGTGTTTTTATAACAGTAAATTCTCTTGTGATGTAATCTTAATGTCATACTCTTACAAATGTTATGTTGATCAAAATAAAACTGATAAAGATAGCGTTTATATAATACGGCTTATCTTAAACATACTTCTCTCTATTAAGAAGCACTTAACCTATTCAATGAACAGTGTTTCTGGGTACTACACATAAAATTCAAAAATATGAAATCTAATCCACTCTGTCAGTGACAAAGTACGCAAACACTGTGCGACCATCACTATGAGAAGTTTCAAGCGTCCAATTTGACGGCTCTTTTTTCAACTCCTCCCCCAAAAATCTTGCTGATCGGTAAGGGCAGGTGCAGCCAAAGTACACCTCCTCTCTGTCTCTTCCCCTGACTGGAGCATCTTCTGTGCGCTCTCACCTGAAAGAATATTTGATCAAAGAGCTCCCCACCTCACACTATGAAGGCTGGGACATTAAGAAATAGAGACATGTGGCGCACAGGGCTTTGGATCCTGAACTTTGCTTGAAGTAGTGTTGCTCTGAGATGGGTTTCTTCACCAGAAACACACCACAAGGAAATATGTAATGGCTTCCTACAGCTTTTCATATAAGAGTTGACTCTTTGGTGTATAATAATGAAGTGCAATGTAGAGGTCAAAGGTCAAGAGAGGTCAGATTACGGTCAATTGAAAAACAATAAACCTGTTTCACTTCGAACACATTGCCTCAAATTGAGTGAGACAGAAAAAGAGGGAGGGAAAGGTAAAGGAGTTCACAAACACTTAAGTCAAGGCCACAACACACTGTTTCCATTGTGATATGTCTATGAGTGATCGTGTGTGTGTGTGTGTGTGTGTGTGAGAGAGAGAGAGAGAGAGAGAGAGAGAAAGAGAGGAAGAAAAAGCGTTCACCTTGCTAAGGAATCTGAGTGTGTCCCATAATTAAAAGCAGTTCACAGGCTCATAAATCTGGGCTCTGACATGTATTTTCAACACACACAAACACACACACACACACCTTTGCTGTAATGTTTGCATGCCTCCTCTAGCCTTGCATCTGAGGTTCAGACTCCAGGCAGAGAAATTTGCTCAGGTAAGTGGATTTCAGATCCTTGAAACCACAAATCGCAACTCTCAGCTATCAAAAACCATCTCTATCAATCATAATGTATTTCTCATATAGCTCTATCATAACAAATGATGTTCAAATACACTGATCTTTGGTCAGCCATGAGGAATGTTCAGAGCAGCAGGAAGAGATTCTTCCTGTGTGACTGAAAGTTCACAGCAGCACTACAGTTGAGAAACACTAGGGGTGCAACGGATCGTAGATGATCCGTACGGACCAGGCCCCACGGTTCGGCACGCATGTGATTCGCGGATTAACTGTTAAGTTTAATCATCATAGAGTGAAAGTTTATCATTTGCACATGTTTTGTCTTGCCAGTTTACACATTCAAGCAGTTTTAACTCGCGTGCTTTTTTCTGTGCGCTCAGCTGCTGCCGCGTGCAAACGAAGCGCGCACACACAGAGAGAGTGAGAGGCGCGATTCAGACACCGTGTGATTCCTCTTTCACATACACACAAAGTTATGTTAAAATACCCACTTTGGCAAGTATTCTAGTAAACACAGTTGGTTATGTCTTAATTGAACGTAAACAGGTGAGAAAGAAACCGGATGGGTGTCAGTATTAGGTCCGTGCATTTGGTCTTAAAGAGATAGCAGCCAATAAATACCGGTTTCTGTCTGCTAATCAAATTACACCACAGCTCTAACAAAGATTAATTTGTATTTAACTTGTGCAGTGAGCACTATTGTGTTAAACTTAATTATTACATTTCTGCACCTAAATTCTGATATTTGTAACTGATTTGTTGTTTTCATCTATGTTTGTAATTTGTGTAATTGTTCTTGTTTTATTACTAACTTTATTAGTTAAGCTAGTAGTTTTTGCTGTGGTATAGAAGTACTTAAAGTTTTTTTTTTTTGGCTGATCCGAAAAATGATCCGATCCGTGACTCAAAATCCGTATATTATCCGACCCGTGAATTTTGTGATCCGTTGCACCACTAAGAAACACACAACTACAGATTCATCCATCACTGTGCTACTCTTGCTGAAGTGATCAGCATCCACATTTATTTTCAGCTAAATCCATTTTGCTAAGATACAACCTCTTCCTCTTCAGATGGAAAAAGGCGAGTTGGGACTCACATTACAGTGCACGAAGAGGAAAGATTTGATGATGTCACTCAAATCTCTAAGTATTATGAGAGCTTGATGCATGTTACTGGAATCAGGGCAAATGTATCTCTCTAACCATCATGTCCCAGAGGAAAAGATGGCAGTGGTTTATTCCCCCAGCTTAAATGATCATCCAGTGTTTAAACATGTGTAAACCATTCCTTGGTATGTAACCCAGACGGCAGCTGTAATTACTGACGTTCCTCAGCCTGCTTTTACAACACACTCATCCACTCTCAAAAAGACACCCTAACATGCACCCTGGACTCACACAGAAATCCCTTATTAGCTCTAGAGAGACACAGCAACCTGAATCCAGACCGGCCTGGTGTTTACTCAGCCAGATCACCAGCTCCAACCGGTTCTCACAAATACGACAAATCGCATTTGCGATCTAGTTTTATTATTGATTGTGGACTGTAATGTTCTCCTCTAATCACCACTGAGATTTATGAGCAGAAGTCTTTCTTTAAACAAAAGCAGATCTTAATGAGGGTACTTGATGGTCTGTGCTGTGAATACAATACCATTAGAGGAAACTTCAATATACTTAAATGTAGGAAGTAGGGCTGGGGAAAAAATCGAATGCGATTTTCATGCGAATCTCGTCAGTAAAGCAGAGCTTTGTCAGTGCTTTGTCAAAGCTTGTCAGTGAACTACGGCTCTGTGTAGTAAATGCCGCTCCATCTGAAAGCACGTGCTGGAGATTTACTACTAATCACCAGAAGTGGCTTTACTGACGAGATGCGCATGAAAATCGCATTCGATTTTTTGCACAGCCCTAGTAGGAAGGTTTTAAAGGTCAAAGCTCAGCTCACAAGGCACCAGGTTGATGATGAAGGCTGCAATGCCCCCGCTGCTCTAGCGTATCTTTCCTTGTTTACTTCTCCTCATCAATATAACCTTTATTATGCTCCTTCTGATTTACCATTTGCAGACACCACATTAAAGATGGTTAGCTCAGACTGCACAGGAAACAAGGGGCTAATCTCTCACTCGAGCTCTGCTTTCTCCTGTTGTTATTTGCTTTGAATATCAGTGTTCAGATGTAAATCTGCCTCAGAATGAGAGTTACTCATGGGCCTGGCTATAATTCCATTACAGAGGAAAATACAAATCCCTCATTTATGTATGACAGAAAAACAACATAAAACACGCATCAATTAATTACGGCTCCTATTCAAAATGAAACCAACAACAGCAGAAACCTAATCAATTTCCCTGGTAGACTGAGCTACACACAGAGAGAGAGAGAGAGAGAGAGAGAGAGAGAGAGAGAGAGAGAGAGAGCACACGCTGCTGGTTTAATCAAACTTTCGAGCACGTTAAGCTGATTTGAGGCATTGATGAGCTGTAGAATATGGGCACTGCAAGAGATAATGTTGTATGAGAACAGATTGATGAGGTTTTCTGGCTGTCACAATTTGAACAAGCCATCTTTGTGTGTGTCTATACCTTGTTGAAGCCATCCCGGCTTAAAGGGACGGTTCACTCCAACATTTTTTTTTTTTAATCATTTACTTACTCTAATGTCATTCCAAACATCTATGACTTTTTTCTGTAATAGAACGTTAAACACCACTTACTGTAATTGCATGAACTAAGACACTGCTCTAAATATCGTTTTTTATGTTGAACAGAAGAACAAGATGATGGGTAAATGATCACAGGATTTTAATTTTTTGAGTGAACTATCCCTTTATGAGGAGCCGTTCACACAAGAATGCATTTTTGCTTTCAAAAACGCAAGATGCCACACAATAGTATCCAACTGTAGAGCTGCAGTGCTGATGAATGAAAAAAGGCAAGGTCTTCAGATATGTTTTTAAAAGTTGAACCTCTTTTAACCTTTCACAGTGTCTTCAAAACAGGGAGCTTATGCACGAGACGCTAAAAAAAAGCAGTGAGACATACCGCGATTGTCAAAGTTGTCCGTTTAGCAGCTGTTTACACAGAAAAACAAAAAGCAATGAAGTGGAACACAAAAACGGATTCTGTGTGAACCAGTCCTTAGTCTTCAAGCAAATAGCAGTTAGAGAATACGATGACAGACATCACACCGAAGAATGCCAGACAAGACAAAACACGAACAAACCAGACTAGGAGTGACTATACTGGACCAGCACAGACTAGATCAGACCAGAACAGGGTAAATTACCACTCTGATTGTACTTTGCAAAACTTTTTAGCCAGTTTATGTGTACTTGTGCGTGTGCATCTCTTCTACCCTCTAAAGTCGTGTCAACAGAGACAGCTGGGCCTAATAAGGAACAAAACAAGCCGGTAAAAATAATCAGCAGCAGCAGAAATGGTGTGGTCGTGCTGTGCTAGAGGTCATGCAATGACACTTACAGTCCACATTAAGAAAAGCCACTGACCGTCAGTAACTATCCCCACTGGGAATAAAAGAATAGAGACGCTCTTTGAACACTTTCAACACTAACATCTATAGCAGCTCTGAGAAGATGCAACTGAAAGGGTACAGAGAGGGGAAGAATACAGATGCATAGTCTGTAAAGCTTTGTCTCACCTGCTGGTAGGTTTGAAATCTGCTGCTGTTGTATTTGAGCGATGAACACCCCCCACCCTTCAAAGAAACAAAAGAGTAAAAAAAAAGTAAATAAATGAATGGGAATATAAGACAAAAATGATAAAGACATTACCATAAACAATAATCGTTTGACATAACAGTGATATAGTACAAACAAGATTTGCATTTCCCAAAGGAAATACCGATGCTTATATGGCAAAAAATATTTTTTTAGGCTTTGGTTCGGTGTAAATAAAATGCTGTATTAGAGCTGCTCTGTCATTGTTATGACATTGAACAGCTTGTTTTCTGTTGGCTGCACACAGCCCATACATAATCACTGTGTATCGTAAAATTAGATATACACTGTTAAATATATGCATGAGAAAAGGGCATGTAAATAGAATGTAAAAGGGGTGAAAAACAAATCAATTTAGTATTACCTTGTGGTGACATCACTGTGTGTTGTGTTGCATTTTGAGTGCTGAATATTCTAAAGTTAATGAATGTTTTGAAGTATGAGCTGTGTAAATCTTCCTTCAACTAAAAAAAAAGTATATAATGTACAAATGTGAAAAATAGATGTCACATGCAGGTATAAAGAGTCTGTTAAGCACTTTGTGCTGAGAAAATTATTGAACAAACCCTAACCAGAATGTTATACAGGATATGGCATGGAAAATAAATAACACACACACACACACACACACACACACATAAAAGAAAAGAAAAACAACATGGCATTAAAAAGGACTGTGGATTGAGTTGGTGTGGCATTTTAAAGACTCAGAAAGCATTAAGCATGTGATGTAATGCAGACACATTTCACCATTACAAACAGGGGTGGGTTCTATTATCTCTGGTCTGACCAGATATTCCACCCCTCAGGCAGTGCTGTGGCCTGGACCCCACTGGAGCATATCAATTCATGGCCAACACAAATGTTATATAATGTACCACAGACAGACATTGGAGTTTCCTTTACTGAGATATCACTGACCCTAGAGAAAATTAATAGGACCCAAAGAGCCCATCATTTAGGAATACAAAGCAGTGTGTGAGTCCAGGACAGCCCTCTGTGCTTTACGGAGCTGATTTCACACAAGAGGGAGATTTGTGATTGTGGTTTCTGACCAGAAAGCAGTCAGTCAGTGATATCCCTTATGTCTCCTGTGCAGTAAAACCTAACAGTTCGTGGCCAGCAGCATTTTGCATTTTTATCTCTTGGCCTGTTTCCAGTGGTTGGTTAATTTCTCTGTATGCCATTATGAGGTCGGGGATACTAAAGGGCATCTAAGGAAAACTTTCTTTATCTTCTCCTGGTCACATATGCAGATACACACATCATCACAAGAAGCAGGAGCCTAATGTCTTTCTGTCCTGCCTATACTTCCTACTACTATCTCAAAAACAATCACTTCTGGAGACTTCTGCCTTACAAACAAAATCTTCAGCATGGATATAAATATATAATATATAATTTATATTTTTTTATATTTTCTAAACAACAAAAAATAAACAGAGGAACAGAGACTTATTCAAACAAACATAATAAATTAAATATTCCAGCATTTTCTTCAATGTACTGTAAGCATTATGGCACATATGTGAAAACAGTTTAATCTTTCATGCAGCCCTCGTGAAATGCTCATTGGAAACTATTAAAAGCATCCTTAAAAAACCCTTATGAAAACCCTTTGAACACTCTCTCTCACACACACACACAGACACAGACACAGACACAGACACACACACACAGAGTGCAAGGAAAATGCAAAATGCATTTCTGCACAGTAAATGAGATGTCATACTTTTCACAAAAAAATGCCAGGTGGCCACAACTGAAGTTGCAAATAAACCAACACAGACTCAAGCACACAGATGAGCACATTTACACATCTTTTACACGTACAGAGGGGAGTGAATGCAATACTTTACAATTAAAAGGGAACCTCAACTCATTTGATTTTCTATTTTTATTCAGAATGCAGAATAAAATATGCGATTATACATTATTATTACATTATAATAATGATTATTTATTATAAATTAAAAATCTAGCATTTGAGCTAAAACAAAAGACTCAAAACAGTAAAATTAACGCAGTAAGAAGGTACTTAGTACTGACTCTGACTGGATGAGCTACAATCGAAACTGTTATAAAACAGATATACACACATTAGTTGTGTTGTTGTACGGCAAGTATAAACAACTAATGAAGTTATTCTGAGATACTTCATATTATTGATAATAAAATACATATATTATCAATAAAACCCTCACAAAAAGAGATATGTAAAAGGAGTTAGTTCTTTTTTGCTATAACAAAGATTAGCTAGAAAGAGTTCTCTCACAGAACTACTCAAGATTCACACATCAGCATCTCTCATACCAGCACAGAACTCAATATTCTGCTTAGGGCCATACAAATGTAGATCAGAAAGAACATGCAAGAACATTCAGCCTGACAAAGAAAAAAACAATTTGTGTGTGGCAGCAGGCTTGATCCACGTGGCTGGAGTTTCAAGATGTGTTCTAGAGGATCATAAACGTTCTCTCTGTAGTTCTTACCTGCTGAGAGCTGGTTTGGCTGATCTGAGCGAGTCACTGTGTGCAAGTGCTTCTGCCACAGAACTGTCACTGGAAACACGCTTCCTTTGGAGCTCTGCAACCCTGAAAAAACAATGAGAGAGACACACAGAGACATTATCAAGAGGAATATTTGGTCCTGAAACAGCAGGCCAGTCACTATATATGCAGCCAAAAAAAAAAAATTATGTGATGTTCCACAGTCCAGCTGCTAACAAATCTTAATGATGTGTGAGCTTGTTCTGTAATGGTGGAAGTCTCCGTGATATAAAAAAGCAAAAGACCCACAATTACAGTCTGGTTAATAAAAAACACCTATAACAGATGAGAAATACCCTGTGACATACAGAAACATTTTTAGATATATATTCAAATATCGGCATCGGCTGATTCGTTTTTCTGTTTGGCCGACGTGTTGAGGCAGGACTTTTATTTTGACGGCGCTGAGAACGGCAGGGCCTGCGCACACAGCTCTCACATTCTCCCTCTTCATTGTTTGCTGTCGCCGTTTAAAGGGGTCATATGATGTTGCTAAAAAGAACATTATTTTGTGTATTTGGTGTAATGAAATGTGTTTATTCGGTTTAAGGTTAAAAAAACACATTATTTTCCACATATTGTACATTATTGTTTCTCCTCTATGCCCCGCCTTTCTGAAACGCGTCGATTTTTACAAAGCTCATCGGTCTGAAAAGCAAGGTGTGCTGTGATTGGCCAGCTATCCAGTGCGTTGTGATTGGCCGAATACCTCAAGCGTGTGATGGAAATGTTACGCCCCTTGCCATATTGTGACGCCTTGTCCCGGCCGGAGCGACGAGACAAAAACAATAAAACCCATTATAAACGAGGCATTTAATTGTTAAAACGTACTTACAGTCTGTGATTCAGAACAGCCGGCATTGTAGTCTACTCTACCAGGATCAGGAAACAGTCCTCCATAAAATGTTCTGCACACATCTGAATATTTAGGTTGAACTGTTCTGGAACAGTGTTGTAAATACAACTTAACCACTGATTTCTAGTCGTGTCCTCTTTTGGAAGGCCAAACAAAGTAGTTTCGCTTTCACAACGAAAGCGAGGTCGGCTTGAGTGAGCGGCGGTAACGAGCCGTTTTAGGTAGGCGCGGTTGACTCTTAACTTTTATAAAGAATATCTCTTTGGATTTGAGACTTTAGTCTTTGCAACTTTACAGATCTTCTTTATGCACCAAGAGCTTGTAACACTCCAAAGAGAAAGGAAAACTTGAAATCGCATCATATGACCCCTTTAACAGTTCTAATAATCAGATAGAACTGTTAAAGTAAAGGAATTGAAAAGTATACAAAAAGTACTATAGCGATTGCTTTTATAGTATTAGTAATAGAAAGGCAAACATTATAATACATACTCGTTTACCGACAGCATTCAGCAACAGCTGTGAGACCTTGTGAAGTGTGCATTTCTAATACTGCATATATAGAAATGCAGTATAGAATTATCACGAGTAAGTGACGGTCGGTCGGACAGGAGGAGAGTTCAGCTTCACAGCTTCACAAACTTTAAACTCTTTATATCGGCCATCGGTCACCCTGCTCTTTAAGATATCGGCATCGGCTGTCAAAATACCAATATTGGTCGACCACTAGTTTATTATGTGAGAGAAAGGGAAAGGAACAGATGAAGGTGGAGAGAGATAGAGAAAGATAAGAGACACTATCCTTTGATCTTCACTAGTGCATGTATCACCCTATAGCAGTATGATCTCATTTAGTGGAAAAGCATAACCAGCGGAAAAACTTTACGAAGACAGGAGAGAGTAAAATAGGGAGAGCGAGCCAACATTTCTAGAGACAAAAAAAACAAAAAAAACAATGCTTCCTGTTACTTTGTTCACCCACAGCTCACCCTGGCAAACTCAGCACTTAACACCATAAAGAGAACACCACAAAGGCTAATTACATCTTTTTGTTAATTTAATATTCCTTTCATGAGCGATTCTGTGTGATTCTGAATTGAACAAAAGCATGTTCAATGTTGCCTCGGCGAGAGATCGTTATTTCATGCCCAAGGGAGTTAAAGGATGTAATAATGCCTGCCAAACGCATCAGCAGCCATAAGCCTGTGTGACTGATTGAGTCTGTGTGACTAACAACAAATCAGGAGCAAAAAAAGTTGCCAAAAAATGACACTGAAAAAAAACAAAAAGTGACACTGATTAAATACATAAATGAAAAAGATGAAATGCAAAATAACTAAATTGAAGACAGACAAAAATGGAAGGGAAAAGGATGAGCTGAGGAAACAGGAGAGATGTCAATTACAAGAAGGCGAGCCAAAGTTCTCTGAAACTCTGAAAGACTCTTGCTGTTTCGCAAACATGTCATTAGGACTGCAGAAATTGTATTTAAGTATTGACAAGGAAGAAATTATCCAAGCCTATTGCAACAAAAATGGACATAATGATATCTGAAATATTTGATGTTGCTGTTTTTACATATTTTACAAGAAAAAGAACCCAGACATGTATATAAAAAATCATTACAGAACCAGAAACCAAACAGAATGCTGACATTTTGTAGCTTTGTATGCTTGTGGTGTGTCTAACACAACAGAGTTCAATAAACACCACACAATTATCGAAGTAAACAAGACTAATTAAAGAAAACTTCAGCTTTGATGTGGAAAACACAAGTGGCTTAGAGTGAACCCAAGAAAAAGGGTGAGAGAAAAGGTAGTATTTGAATCAATCATATAATTTGACAAATGACACATTTACAGTGAAACTATAGAGTGTGACGTGAGAGAAAGACATTCTGAAGTTCAAATACAGAAAGATAAAGGATATTTCAGCACATCTCAAGTACCCACAGCACCTAAAGACAAAAGGCTGGCTGTTATCTCACTATCACAGCACACATGACAGCAGCAGCATCAGGACTGAAAGTGCTCTGAGGGTTCGCTCAATGTTTTCCATTGGGAGGCATAAACAAAAGCTCCTATCCGGTGGGTTATACAATCATGACATAATCAGAAGAGCTATGCCCAGTGCAGCGGCTTGTCTGTGTTTCAACCAGACACATTACACCGCTTCAAACAGCTGGGAGGACAATGATAATGACACAAACATCACACAGCTAACCATTCAATCATTCTGATCAATCAATTCCCTGTTAGCCTCTTCCTGACCAATATGAGCTAAATATATGAATGGTTGTTTTAATATATTTTAAAATGTAATTTATTCCTATTCTGTCAAAGATGAATTTTCACAGCCATTACTCCAGTATTCAGTGTCACGTGATCCTTCAGAAAACATTCTAATATGCTGATTTGCTGCTCCAGTAACATTTCTTATTATTATCAGTGCAGAAAAGAGTTTAATATTTTTGTGGAAACTGATTTTTTTTTTTTTTAATTTGAAAGAATTAATTAACTAAATTAATTTAAAAGTATTCATTTCTTTCAAAAAATAATAATCTTACTGACCCCACAGTTTTGAACAGTAGCGTATGTGGTGTTTTGGATGCTGGACCCCAGCATGCAGGTGTGCTTCTTCACTAGCTTAACCAGTAAGATTTCCATGGTCAGTCAGCTTCACCAGAATGACCATGCTGGCTGACAACCTTTACCAGCACAAAATCAGCACTAACTGGCATTAACCAGCACAAAATCAGCACTAACTGGCATTAACCAGCCTGGACCAGCAATAGAAATTCATGCTGCTCTTTTCATCAGAGCATTCATCTAAGGTTAAATAATATAATAATAGAAAATAAACAAATGCACACTCCTGACAGAACTTTTACATTTACCGAATAGAAAGGATGTGTGATGAAGCTTAAGCTAAATATTTTGACATAATTTCAACCGATTTCATCCAAAAATTAATAATTCAATCTTAAACATTCACAAAGACAGAAATACAGAAAAAAGCTAAATTACTGTCTGTATTCCAGTGTTAATTTTGACAGCAAATTTTGATTTAGTTTTAGTCATATTTTAGTCACCTGAATTGTTTTTAGTTTTAGTCTAGTTTTAGTCGACTAAATATAATAAGATTTTAGTCGACTAAATCTACAGTAAATTTAGGCGGCTAAAATCGAATGGGTTTAATTACAGTGCATTTATTAAGCATTTCTCTAACATTTCCAAACTCATATAGGTTTGATATTAAGGTTTTATCATGATACACACCGATTTAACTGCGGTGACACACAACATGCCTTTATGTTAAAATTAAATAAAACCACTTCTCATAAAGAATGGTCTTCTTTTTAATGAAATACCAATGGTTATATAGGCTAATTATGCATTCTTTATAGCAACTTGTTTACCATATTCTTCATTCTTTCAAGCAAACATACTTATTTCTATAAATAAATTTATATTAATCTTTAGGGCTACTAAAGTTTTTCAGTCAAGAGCAGTGAGTGATTTTCTGTCTTTCTTTTGTTGCTTGATTAACATCAATGACTCGGACAATAGCAACTAAATTCTAGATGCTATCCCTTTAAAACCGAATGCACAGCTGCAATGTACTGATGATACACGTTCTCCCTACTGTTTACGTTCACTTAAGACGTAGGCTAATCAACTGTGAATACTGTTCACTTTTACGTGAATACTCGTCAAAACGGACATTTCGACATAATTTTGTGTGTAATTCTCCATTCATGCGACGCGAAAGAGTACTCGCTGAGAGAGCGCTGTGAGACGCGCTTTCTGTGCGTGTATGCTTCAGTGAAAAATTTCACTCTGAAAACCGGATGTTTCGTTCTGAATGAATCTCTTCCTAAATCGTCCCTCCCTAACATTTCTTCTCGTTTTTATTCGTTGATGAAAATGTCAATAGATTTACGTCATAGTTTTTGTCATTCAAAATTAGTTTTAGTTCGCTATCGTCTCATTGTCGTCGGTGAAAGAAATTAACACTGCTGTATTCTCTGTCTTGAGCTCTATTCCCCCTCCGAACACACACACACACACACACACACACAGGAGATTAGCAGGGGCTGTGGTGCTGTATGACTTTTTCAGGCTGCTATAAATAGAGGATCGGATCAATCTCTGTGCTGCAGGAAATGCTCTGTTTTATTCACTCTGAACCACACAATTATCCTGCTATTCACAATCACTTCCTCGTTTGCACAAGCAAACATTTATAGACATTCATGTATGAACCTGTCTACACACAAGTGTAAATTATAAAACCATAAAACAACCATCTCAAAAGCAACAACTATAAGGCACCCTAGGTGGATGTTAAACATACAGTTATCAGTACATTAGAATTAGTGTTGTTAATGTAGCATTTGTACAAAGCAGCTGAGCTGTGAGAACCACACTGCCACCAGCCGGCTCGATGCTCTACTGCTCCCTGTTGGCTGATATTACAGAGCAGAAGCTGCTGTCAGCTAACAGCCATCTGAGTTATTAGCTGCCGCTGATAATGAAAATGTCTCCTGTACGAAAGTTTGTATAAAGTAACTCATTCATCAAAACATCATTAAACTGACAAGAAAGGCAAAGATTAGCTGGCACAGTGGCACTGGATACATTTAAACGGTTCCCTTTATGTTTGTCCGTGTATGTTTACAATATCTCACCTAGGTCCAGGTGAGTTTGGTGGAGAAGAAGAGGATGATGGGAAGGCAAATTTACGTGGATCAGACGGGGCATCACCAGAGGAGTCCACCAGGTCTGGCATGCCTGGCGATGTGCTGACCGTCTCTGTGACAACCAGCTCTGGGTCCAAAACGAACAGCTCATCCTGAGAAATTTCAGTCACGTAGTTAAGATGCTCCTGAGGGATGACACAGACACCAGACAAATGGGAATGGTTTATTTGTGGAAACTCAAAATTGCTCAATTGTAGTTTGAATTACTCTAAGAGGTATTGTACGGAGGACTCACTTGAGCTCGATCAATCCTGTAGAATCGATCCGCTGTTGTAGCTGCAAACACAAAACATACAAAACAACACAAATCAGGCCTCTGATTAGCTACCAGACATTCAAGAGCAAGTTCAAGCAGAAGAGATGACAGAACATCTCTCTCTCCAATTACACAACAGTATTGTTTCAACATCTTCACTTTATAAAACCCTGGGTTATTTTTTTCAACTCAAACACTTGATTGAGACTACTGGGTAAGGAAGCTGGGTTGATGTGTCCCAATTTGGGTTAATAATTGCTCATAATCAGTAACCACAGCCATATCACCCTGCAGCCCAAGACTGGTTGCCCACTGAAGCTAAGCAGGGTTGAGCCTGGTCAGTACCTGGATGGGAGACCTCCTGGGAAAACTAGGTTGCTGTTGGAAAAGGTGTTAGTGAGGCCAGCAGGGGCTGCTCACCCTGTGGTCTGCATGGGTCCTAACACCCCAGTATAGTCATGGGGGCACTATACTGTCAAAAAGCACCGTCTTTCGGATGAGACGTTAAACCGAGGTCCTGACTCTCTGTGGTCATTAAAAATCCCATGGCACTTCTCGTAAAGACTAAGGGTGTCCTGGCCAAATTGCCCCCCAGGCCCTTGTCAATCATGGCCTCCCAATAATCCCCCAACCACTTGATTGGCTCTATGACTCTCTATCCTCTCCACCTGTGACTCTCTGTGGTCATTAAAAATCCCATGGCACTTCTTGTAAAGAGTAGGGGTGTAACCCTTTGTCCTGGCCAAATTGCCCCCCTGGCCTTTGTCAATCATGGCCTCCTAATAATCCCCAACCACTTGATTGGCTCTATGACTCTCTCTCCTCTCCACCTGTAGCTGGTGTGTGGTAAGCGCACTGGCTCCGTTGTCCTGTGGCTGCCGTCGCATCATCCAAGGGGATGCTGCACACTGGTGGTGGTTGAGGAGAGACCCCCCCCCAATGATTGTAAAGCGCTTTGGGTGCACAACAATACACAATAAAGCGCTATATAAATGCATCATTCATTCATTCAACCCAACAGTACTCATGACATGCATACGTTTAGAAACTAGAAGAAAACGAATCAAAGCATAATAATCAACATTTATTCAACAATGTTCAATTAACACTTAAAAAAGGAATATCGTTTAACTGTGTAAGAAGTGACTGTTGAGTTGCCATTCTTTTCTGCACTTTTGCTTATATTATTGTCTATTTCTGTTTTCTTGCAATAATTTTTTACCTTTTGATAATTACTATAGCCTGTGTTGTTACTGTAGTCATTCAGTGTGTGTTAAAGTGATTTACAACTCATTTTGGGAGTACAGTCATTTTCAGCAGTATAGTAATTTTTAAGCTATAGTTAAATAATGTAGGATCAAATATTTAACCTAACCCAGCTGGGTCATAACAAAGAAAGATTTCAAAATATGTTCATAGTTGACATGGGCCCATGACACTCCTGGACAGTTCGGCTGCAACAAATGTCTGTAAGATGATCTGAGCGAATCAGAGGGTGCTACAAGAAGGCAGTCCAAGTGCTTAGACCAGTGGTGTTGCTGGATTTGTGAAGGTATGTGACACTCAGACACAAAACACTTCCCTCATGTTGTCTTAATGAGCGGGAAAACAGAGATTGCTGTGGGTCTCACATCTCACCAAACAAATTACTCCCAAAGAGAATGCACATGCTGAAAATGCACACATAAATTCCCACAAGCTCGTCACAAGATAACACATTTGCAGCATAAGTAATGAATGTACGTGATTCCTCACACTCTGGGGCATGAATGATCTATGATGATCCATGAAAACTGTATAACACTGGCCTCGGATCAGACTTTCCCCCTGCTTGCACTGGTAATTATTTGACAGCAACTTCATAACACTGAGCTGAGATCAGAAGTGCTGCCACAATCACTCTGAAAAGTTCTGACTCATCCTGCAGTTCTCTGCTCGGGTAATAAAGCCCTCGGAAGCTTTTTAGTCTAAAAATGAGGAGATGAGTTTGGCTCTGGGCCGGTGGGAGGAGAGGAAGGAGGGACTGGAATGAAAGGTGGAAAGATGCAAGAATCGAACAGGGGATTGTGATCTACTATTTCACTGGTTTGATGTGTAGCAGTTTAGGATCTATGTGAATGTGACTCAGCTGTCACAGAGGATTTGTGTATAATGATGACTGACTCTCCGTATCTCGAGATGCTGTCAAAGAAAGTCTGATGGCCCTTTCAACGTCAATGCTTCAATGCACCTCTCAACAAAAGCGTCACCTGTATGCAGTGGCGGCTCGTGGGTTTTAAAATAGAGGAGGCACACTAATTGTATTGGTCTGGGATCCCTGCCGATTATTATTATTATTATTTGCTTAACCACTTTAAAATGGCTTTTTGGTTGCTTTTAGTCAGAAAACGTAAAGAAAACGACATACATACAGCAAGATAATATAATTTCACTAACCTGACCTATCACTTGAAGCAAACATCCATCCCTATTTAAAAGTCTGTGTTAAAAGAGAGCTGCCTGTTACGCCATTTAATTAAGCCGACTGCTTGTCAGCATCACTTCTTAATTATTAACATTTTTAAGTGAATTTTCATTTTTATTATTATTCTATGTTTAAGTTTGAACATCCATCCTTTGGTAAGAGTAGTAGTCACAATTTTAAAATGTAGCCGACTTATTTGGGGGATATAAAATTCATAAATTAGTTACCACAAATTACCACAAAGAACCAAATTGTTCAATAGCCTCCTCTACAAGGTTTCTTTTCTCAACGCTCCTCAGCGCTGAAAGTGAACACTCGATGCTGATTGGCTAATTTTTTTTTACCAACGGAGGCACGAGAGTTCACCTCTCCCTCGGCCTCCCCCTACCCTTCTCTATCATTAGCGGTTGTAATTACATCAGCAGATTCGGCACATTCGCGATAGAAAAGCGGCGCTTTCACGTTATGGTATTACAACTGTGAAATTACAAACAAAAAATACACATTCTGAGACATGAACTGAAATGAATTGTGAATTTTATTAACATTAAATCGTCCTCCTCCCATTTTCACCTCAAAATTATGGGGAAGCTGTGCCTCCCCTGCCTCCCCCGACGACCCGCCACTGGCTGTATGCGAATAGCCATTTATTTTTATTAATCAGTTCTCATAGAATACATAGTGCATAATTATCTCTTTGCTCCTTGAAAGTTCAGTGCATTAGGGAACGTTTACATATGAAAAATGTCATCTAAAAGCCTTGACTCCTTGAAGAACAAATGACTTTTCCCTCTTATCAATGTATTTAAATTAGTTGCCATTATATGGCACTATATAATTGTGCATTGATACTACTAGGTTGTGAACACATCATTGCATCCTTTTCATCAAGACTTATGTAGTCTGATTCTCCACTTGTCATTGAGCTGACGTTAATCCACATCTTCACACTGATCAAAAAGGAGATTACTACAAGAACTGGAAAGCTGTTCACATAAAAGTATGCATAATGGCAATAATGAGCTAGTAGGATAGAGTGTAAATCAAACTGTTTAAATAAATACACTACCGTTCAAAAGTTTGAGGTCAGTATGACCTCACCAAGGTTGCATTTATTTGATCAAAATACAGTAAAAAAGGTAATGTTTTTAACTATTATAATGTTATAACTTAAATAAAAAAATGTTCCCTATTAGAATTTATTTTAAAAATGTATTGAATTGATTTAAAAATGTATTACTATGATGGCAAAGCTGAATTTTCAGCAGCCATTCAGCAGTGATACATTTTTTCCGGATTCTTTCATTACTTCAAAAGAACAGCTTTTATTTAAAAAATATTATAAATGTCATCACAATGCACAATTTAATGCATCCTTGCTGAATAAAAGTATTAACTTCCTAATAACAAACAATTAATACAAATATTTTTACTGAGCCCAAACATTTCAATGGTAGTCTATTTTAACGGAAAAATGTTTTTTTTTTTTTTTTTAAATGCATGCCTCTGTGATGCCTTTCATTTTCAGAGTTCCTGCTGATCTGCAAGTGTGATCTGGTGGAACACACGTAGAGTTCATCATTCCAGACATGCAGTCATTATAACGCAAACAGCTCCTGCCTCTTTCCCTGTGGCTGTAATTCTCACCTGCTGACAGTAATCATCTTGGCACTCCTTATTAGCATTGAAATGCCAGAGTAGATTCTGTTCTTTAGTATGGAGATTCATGACTCTTTGTCTTTTCTTAGCTTCGATTCTAGCACTGATGAGAGAATATTTTGTGGGTCTGACTCATGGTTTTGAATTTCTGACCTTTACTCTTTGCCATTTTATTCACTGCAAACACCTACAGCTTTGCGCACTGATAAACACAACTCCAGCCCACATCCTTAAGGACCACCAAGGCACACATGCTGCTCAGCACCCCAGATCTGACTCTGAATTCTAACATCCAAACTACTGTGAATACTCACAGTCGAGAAAGCACCATTTTGGCGACAGCCTCTGAGATGACAAAGCCTTCGATTTAGTCCCGTCACCTTCCTGTGAATGAAATGAGAAGAAAGTATAGGGTAGGAGATGGGAAGAGAAGAAAGGTTGATAGAATTCCGATTAGTGTCAGTGTATGCCACTCAAAGCAAATGAACAGTATATGAATGAACAGTGCATAAGTTTACTATTTTCATCACACACACACACACACACACACACACACATACACACACAGACCTGTCGTTATTTTCTGTCACATCAGTTCTTTCCCTAAAGCAGCAAACTGCCATTTGTAGATCTACATAAGTCATGCAACAGTGTCAAATACACACTACAAAGACTACACTCAAAGCACACAAAGAACACAACACCTGCATGCACCATCACTATAAAGAAAACTGCCATTCTCAACAGAGGCTAAACGTGATCCAAGGCATCCATCCAAACAAAGCACACGGGAGCACTTAGGACCCAGGGGAAATATCCAGGGAACCAAGTTCTGAACGAGTGGATTTAACTTAGTAAGCGCTTACTGCAATTTATGCTTATTTGAAGTTTCACCCATAACGTCTGTCATAAGGGAATGCTGTACTAACAAGGGTTAGGGTCTTCATGCCTGCAAACAGACTAGTGTCTAGGAGGCGCTAGAGTGCTCTAATCTCACAGAGAATGATGTGGGAGAGATTTAGGATGAATTGCAGAATACTCTGCTTTAGGGATCATGTTAAGCTCTATCTGAAAACAAACTCTCTTGCTCATTTTATCTCTCTAGGGGTTTATGCACTCTCACGGTAAACATGTCTGCCTCCGAGCCTACTTTTAGAGTACACAAATGTGCTGCTGAAGCTTATCTAGTTTGGGTTTGTGGAGGCATGTTCATCAAAATCTGACAAACAGCACTGTGTTTGGTTTTCTTGGTTCTTTGTCCAGGCTGTATTTCCAGTCTTGTTCCTGAAAGTGCTCCAGGTGTGCCTGTCTCACCTCTCGCAGGTGTCTCACCCACCTGGAGCACCAGCCGCTGCAGAGATGGGTGACACGACACAAAGTCCTGCAGGAGACCCCATTAAATTAGATAAACACTCACTAAGCCCATCAGTTCAGATACATACACAATCATATAGGATTGCAGCAGATGGACAACAGTGTTTCTGGGAGAAGACCGTGAATGAATATTAGCATGTGAATTTGAGACTACTCTTCTTTTTGAAAAACACTTTATTCTGCCACAAACACTCACACAACCTTTCTGCCAAGGGTGTTTCATTATGACCTGCTGCACAGTGTATGAGAGTGTGTGTGAGAGAGATTTCCCCTCTAAAATCAAACCATCATTTACTGTACATATCCCTCTAAATGAAGGCTCTGACTGGTTTGGAAATCTTTTTTTTTTTCATCTGATTGTGAAGTTATATTTGTACAAACACTGTTTCTTGACGGGAATGTATGAACTAAAACAAGGCCAGAATGGGGTGGCATGAATGAATAAGATAATCTCTACCAGGGGCTCGCAACAGTAGGGGAAAAAACAATGGTAAATGCATATAGTAAAATGTTCACCTAACCAAAAAATGAGTATAGTCACAACAGTAAATTATTAGAATAACTTTTAAAAAAGGAGGAGAAAACACTGCACCTTATTTTTAGTTGCTGACGTCAAAGACTGTGTATCTGATTAAACTACTGTATTTCATCTGTCACTTCACAGAAACAAGCTACATGAGGCAGATGCTGGCATGGATTCAAAATACATTATTACAGAAAGCTGAATGTGGGTTTATTTGCAAAAGGACAAACATTTTTTGCGCACATCCCAATTTATTTTTTCTGTTAATTATTGTCTAGAGAGCTTGGCATCATCGGGATTTAAAAGACAGTTTTCTTATTTCATATGTCATTTTAATAATTATGCATATTGTTGGGCTATAGTATTAGCAACATATTTTAATGTTTGATTTTTTGGCCAGCATTTTACAATAAGGTTCAATTTATTAACATTGGTTAATGATATCATGTACTAGCAATGAACAATATAAAAATAACATCATTTATAAAGCTAGATTCATGATAATTAGTTATCATTAACCTAGTAAATATACAGCTGTATGAATGAACGATTTATGTATAATTTAAAGGGATAATTAACCCAAAATAAAAATTCTGTCATCATTTACTCAAACTCGGTGTTGTCCTAAACCTGTATGACTTTCTTTCCACTGTGGAATACATAAGAAGATATTTTGAGATGTTTTTTGTCCATAAAATGGAAGTCAACGGTCACCAAAACTGTTTGGTTACCAACTTTTTTCAAAATATTTTCTTTTACGTTCCACAAAAGAAATTCATACAGGTTTGGAATGACATGAGGGTGAATAAATTATGATAGAATTTGTTCATTGATTTCATAATACCCATTTCATTAACTGTTGTTAATAAAGGTGTTGCCGATTTTTCTTTGATACAATTTTGATACGGTGCTGTGTTGCCACTCGATGTACAATCTGCGTCCTAAAGGACAATTCAGTTGAGCACTACTGTTCGGTACTGTAGTGCAGTATAACTTCTCCCTCATTATATTCTTACTGTGACTGACTGTTCCCATCATTAATCAAACTCTAACACCTCTCTCCTCCTCTCTCTTTTCCGGTCCTCTTCATGTCTCACTTTTACCCCACTCCATCTGTTAACCCCACCCTCTCATTTTTTACCTCCTGTAGTCTCTCGATGTGAGCTCTGCAGGTTTCCAAATCACTGTCTCCCGGGACAACGATGAGACCTAGTGGAATTGCTGTGATAAGGAAAGAGATAAAAAGAGAAGTTAGAACGAGGGATGATGAGAAGAAACAGAATATTTCTTTCACTCTCACAGTAACAGCCTACTGTGTGTTGTGAAAAACCTGGCCCACATTTTTTCCTCTCAGGAGATACTGATCAGCAGTGGGAGAAAGAGTAAAAATAAAAGAAGACTGCGAAAGAAAGAAAGAAAGAAAGAAAGAAAGAAAAAAAGAAAGAAACTATTTTCAATCATGTATGGTATAAGCTAATTCATCTCTATCTTTGTGAATACATGTGTAAGCAGAAGAGTTGATGAATATAATTTATGGCAGTTGTATGCAACATGTACTGGCTCAGACCCAATCAAACTCATTCAAACTAATCCACAGATTCCTCATGAAACAAGGTCAGACAGTAATAGGACGTGATGGGGAGGATGTGGCAATTTTACTTGCACTAGAGTCTAAACCACTGCAGGCATTTTGTAGACACATGGCTGTAGGCCTGCTCTTAAATGTGCTGTCAGTGAGAGAATATGATGAAATATGATGTTTGTGCAGTGACTGCTGAGGGTACATGTGTCCTCTCATGCATATGGATATTCTCAAGTCCAAGTCACTTTAGAGGAAAAGGGTAAAAAGCATAGATCCCACCCACACTGAGATCCTAACTGTAGCGTTTTTACACTCAACCACCCTTAGCATTATGAAGATACAGTAGTGTACATTTGAAAGCTGGAGGGGCAGTAGTTATGCCCTACCCTGAGCTGAGCCTCACAGGCTTCAGAGAGGCAGGGTAATATTTCTAAATTAAATGAGCATTCTCAAGAGGACAGCAAGTTTCTCTGACAAAGTGGGAAGCGAGAGAGTGAGGCAGCGAGAAAGCGACAGGGGAAACAGGAAGAAACGATCAGAGAGAGAGTAGCGAGAGATGGGAGAGGTCTCTTCCATTGAGGAATGTTGGGTTGCTTAGCAACATCTGAACAGTCGTTACCAAATTCAATTCAGGTTTGTTCTCCGCTCTCTCTCCTTCTGTTCAGTTGGTGGTATTGTAAAGGCTCTTCTGAAGAGTGAAGAGGTACTGACAGCAGAAAGCAGATGAGACACAGGGAAGTGTGGTATATTTTTGTATCACAAAGGAGAGAGTACAGAACAGCTGTATGAACAGCAAAGAGCTAATCGCTTTCTCACAGTTGACATGCACTTTAAAAGTTAGCAATAATTTGTCTTTTTATGATGTTAAATGATGTTATGATATTTTCTTTATGAGATGTCAGACTAACAGGCCTAAAAGGCATAAAGCTGCATCTGAATGTATTCTCAAAGATCCAATTAATTCAATCAGTTCACACCATTATCACTCACTGTAGAGATGGGACGACACCTAGTGCTGAGAAATACAACTGCAGCTTGAATGTACTCTTACAAAACACAAATGAAATATTTTTAATAAAATCTGAAAGATTTCTGTCCATTTTTGTGCGAGCTAACCTAGGGCCATAACCGCTATAGACATCCGCTTGTTAAGTTGTGACATAACGAATACAGTTTCTGGGTACAATTCAAGTGAGCATACTATCTCAACAGCCGTTTATGAGCACTGCTTATTTAAAGCACAGATTTAAACTAAGCTTTTAAAAATACATGTTATAGACTACAGTCACAGTATCCCAGAAACCAATATTTTAACGATTCAGAAAAGATGAATCTCTGTCTGGCCAACGGAGATATCTGTATGGAGATAAAGGTTAAGATCATGATATTTCAGTATTATTACAGCACACAGTGAGCATATACTAGCACCGTATGTTGTTTGCTTTTGGGATGTGATAGAGCACTTGGAAACCTGCAAACCGTCATCAGACTTAACAAGTGGATTGAGGACGACACGTTTCCCCTTCCCCCTAATAATTAGAAATGGCCATTATTTGATATTCTTGATGCTGCCCTGTTGCATTCCATTACACACAGCTGTGTTTGTTGTTAGGATGACAAAAACACATATAACTTAATTTTAACATCATTCTATGAGTATAGAAAAGTCCACACCACAACTATAACGATAAAAACACAGAGGAATGATATCTTTGGAATGTGGAATGTCTTTCTGAATGTTTTTTGTCCAGCTGATAAACAATAAAAACATTGACAGCCAATCAGAATCCACCTGATTTGAAAGAGATTATGCATTTAAAGCGGCAGAAGACATAACTGCAGCTTGTGCTTATAATAAACAGAACAGTATTGGTGTGGACGCTAATATCTTTATCGTTCTTGGTGTGAATGGGCCATTAGACCTACAATTTCTTTTACGTTCTTATTTCTTTTTCTTTATAATTCCTTTAATTAAAATAAACAAGACAACCCTTCCCCCCTCCAATGTTCAGGACATGGTTATGTCTTTGAACTAACTCTTTAAATCACAGCACATCAGGTGTCACAAGTGTATTTTCTGGACTGTAATGTGTGCGTTTCATACTTACAAGCTTCTCTGAGTTTCTCCTTGTCGTAGTGCAGAGCTTCATAGTCATGCATGCTGATACGGTTCACTCTGATCCGTAATCGTTCTGGAAATGGCTGCTGACTACTGGATGAAAAAAAAAAAAGGAAATAAAAAAAAAAACATGCAAACACAAAGGATGTACAGTGCGAAACAAATCTTTCAAGAACAGCTGTGTGCAACAGCGAGTATGCTGTCTTGGCTAGGTACACTGCCTTGCACTTCACTAAACAGTGCTGCTGTCGCCACACTAATTAAATCTGTCTCCACTTCCGATATTTCGCTTTTTAAACGAGGTTTCATTACAGGTCTATCTGCCGTTGATACAATTCGTTCACCTCGAATCAGCCAAGTGTGAAATTAACAAAACCTCAGAGAGAGAGAGCGATTATCTAATTTCAGCAGGACTAAGCAAACGTCTGTCCTTAGCAGCCATTTATGAGGGTAATATATTCACTTCAAGTGTCAAGGTAAAGAAATGACACAGCGAATAAATCACACTAAATTTTCACACTTTCAGTAACAGCTCAATAGAAAGAGACATCAATCCAGCAGTTTAACTTTCTGGTCACTCTGACTATTTTTTAAACATCAGCCCATACCTAATACTCAAATGTGTGTGCGCGTGTGTGTGTGTGCGCGCGCACACATTTTGGTCCTGCGCCCTTTTAAAGAGCAGTCATGCCCTTTAAAACTCATTCAGAAATTGCAGACCTTCTCCTTGGTATTACATACATACCTGGGGTTTTGCTATATACTGGTATTGGCGAAAAACAATGAAATATTAATATCATTAATAATTAATACTTCACAAGATAATATTGTAAATAATCCAGCACCAGTTGCTGGTTGAATTCAGTGGCAATAACATATTACGGTACTACTGCTACACAAAATGTTATATCGTTGGGAGATGACAGACAAAAGTGAGACACTACCTGCGCCCGAGAAAAGTTAGCTCATCGGTGTAGGAGTTTTGGATTACATGGAAAAGGCGTTGTGTTAGACACCCTAAGTAAGTTCTTTTTGTTCAATTATAGTTACAAACTCTCTCTCTCTGCCTTTTAACACTCTTATTTTGAGTGGGATTAATTGGCCAAAAAGAGAAAACACAAAAGAGACCAAGTTAAAGATGAATTTGACTTGACAGCATTTTTAAAATTTTCTACAGATATCGCAAAAATATAATTATTATTTTGGGCACGGTAACCGTGTAGTGAATATGCGATATCGAGACAGCCATAATATTCACACAGCAACATGTTGCACTCACTCATTGAGCAGTGGTATTGATGTGCGTCTCTTGGTTTTCTGCACCATGTTGGCCTGGTTTCTCAGGGAGATGTGAATAACAGATGGAGCTAGTTTGCAAGGCTCGCCATCCACCTGCATGGGGATTGGCTTAAAGGTGGTGAGGGTGACTTCACGACACTGATTTAACCTCTCACCGTGACCTCCGACCTGCAGCGTGGCCTACAGTCATAACAAACAATACAAGGACTGTAATTCACCAATCGTACTATAAAAACTCACTTCAAACTAATTCAGGTAGGTGAAACATACCAGTGATGTCATCGTGAACCCAATGACCTCAATGCAGCCATCATCATGACGCTGAGGCTCAAAGTCATGATGCTCACTTGGATTGCCCCATGGCATAGTGCCCGCACAGTACCTGCGATTAATATGAACATCCAAACATGCACTCTTCACACAGACTTATCTAGAACTGAAAATTCAGCTTTGCCATCACAGGAATGCATTTAAAAAAACATCAAAATAGAAAACGGTTATTTTAAATTGTAAAAATATTTCACAGTATTACAGTTTTACTGTATTTTTGATCAAGTAAATGCAGCCTTGCTGAGCATAGGAGACTTCTTTCAAAAACATGAAAAAAATCTTGCAGACTCCAAACTTTTGAACGGTAGCGTAAGAAAGAACAAATCACAGTAAAAGATTTTGTGTGTTACCTGGGGATATTGAGGAAGACCAGGCATTGCAGCTTCAAATCCTGGACTTTAGAGGTCAAATCTGTGCCGTCACACTATTGAGAATGAGAGAGAGAAGAAAGTGGTAAAAACTGAGTAAGTCAGCAAAACAAACCAACAGTCAGCAGAAAAAAAGGTTGCAACTCAAATTTAGGCACACTACCTCTCAGTGCTAAAGCCCAAGAGGAAGAAATGCAAACAAACAAGCATGCAAAAACAGAGACTTAAAAAAAAAACAGCATTTTCATTTGCATTTCAAAACACAAATATTTCCCCTCTTGTTCTGCACAAAAGGGTCTTTGTTTAGTTTAACTCAATACGTACCACCACTCTAATGTGTTTAGCCAGGTCTTTGGAGCTGCCCATCAAGAAATCAGAAAACGCTGTCTGTAGAAAAGGAAACACCATTTGCATTTCTGTCACCACCAACTCACTGTCACATTATTAATGTTGTGGTTTACAAAGAGGTTTGCAATTATTAAAGTCATGATGTAACGGAAGTAGCGACAGATACTTTTCTCTGTATTGTGATACAGAGAAACAGGTTATTGAAAAGAAAAAAAAAATGTTGGGCAGGGACTTGTTTCTATGCATTGTTTATTGATTGGATAAAGGCAGATCTGAATGTTGGCTCAAAGTCGATTGTAAGAAAGGGGTGGAGATTAAGTGGACTAAATGATTGGAGAAGCCCAGCATACTGGAAGAGCCAGTTATGACATTATGATTGAGAATTACATTTACATTTAGCCATTTAGCAGACGCTTTTATCCAAAGCGACTTACAAATGAGGACAATAAAAGCAGTCAAAACTAACAAAAGAGCAACAATATATAAGTGCAAATGACAAGTCTCGGTTAGCAATTACAATGTCAAAACTTATTAAAAAATTAAACGTGTATGGATTAATCATTCACAATAAGATCAACAGCACGCATTTAGAAAATAGACAGGATGAAGTGAGTACTTTGTAAGAACTTGGCTGTTTGAGTGTGAGAGTTTATGTGTGTTTCACTTACCCCTGCATAGAACATTTTGTTTCTGAATCGGCTGTTAAATTTCTCAGGGTTGGCCTCTGAAGAGTAAGAGGACAAACCATCATTTATCTCAATTAGCACCAATAAGTATGACCTCGCAGAAGAAACTCAAGGCTTTACTCTCACACAGCCACTGTCTTGCTATTAAACAGTCACATTTATATGACAGACTAGTGCCTTTACACCAACCTCGGGATTCATGGAACTCTAAAGTCACATGAGCATCAAACCCAAGGCTGAAGTAATTATTGAAGATGTCCAAAGGGAGCTGTGGAGCAAAGAAACATCAGTCATTCTTCAGCTGCTTACATACTGATGCAAACAGAAACAGCACTGCAGGTGGTGCTCTTACTGTACCTTGTCTGTCACCTGCTCGTCTCTTTCCTCTGACCCCGCCTCTGAGTTGGGCTTCACAATAAGATTCCATCGATCCAGCTGCACAATATTCCCATCCTCAACGTGAGACAGGATTTTACTCAGAGGTTCATCTGTGTAACCCTACATGCATACGGTTGTACAAAAAAAAGCCCATTCGGTAAACCATTCTATAAATGGATGAGCAGATTATGCTGCATGAATTACAAAGAAATTTATAATGAAGGAATATAAGAAAGTTCTTCTGACTGATGTTTGAAATGAATGCATCTGACTGCGCAGATTTCACTCACCCCACCCCAGTTTAGCGTCCTAGCGAGGTCATTTCCCGTGCCCAGAGGAAGTACTGCCACAGCAGGAGAAGGGTTTAGCTGCAGCTGATCAAGAGCGGACAAAATCCAGCCCACCTGAGTCAAAGAATCATTTAACATGATTTTGTGTGTGTGTGTGTGAGAGTGTGTGTGTGTGAGAGAGAGAGAGAGAGAGAGAGAGAGAGGGAAATGCATTGAATGTTCAAAAAACATTTAAACAAAATCCATAAAAATCACATACACACATGGCTAAAACCGTCTAATACTTAAATGACAAACAAGTTACAGTTAGATATCTTGTTTTGTAAAATCACATCAAACCTAGAGAACCTCACAGAAAAACAGCAGAATATGAATACATGGAGTGTTGAACTCAGAAAACAGCAGTTCAGCATGGTGGAAGACAAGTGATGGGAAGGGTGGATTAAAACTCCTTATTTCAGTTGGGCTTAAGGCATTATTCCCAAACTTCTCTCTCATGGATCAGAGTCAGGGTATGAAATATGACTGCGTTCAGATTCCACTTTAACACTCTTAATTACTCACACAGACGGATTACAGAAATGTGACAGCATGGGGTAAACCAGGACACACACATCACCATTATATGTCAGAAAACTCCTCAAACACATGACTCATCTGAATAGTGTCATAGTATTATGACTAAGGAGAATCATCTCTCGCACCGCTCACAGGCTAGGAGATAAGACTGCAGTGCCGCCCCCTGCTGGAGGGGTTCATAATTCCTACATAAACCATTCACCTAATATCTACAAAAGGTGATCACAGACTATTTCTTAGCAGATTATTTTGTCACATACACACACACACACGTCTGGTTCACTATCCTTGTGGGGACTCCCCATAGGCGTAATGGTTTTTATACTGTGCAAACTGTATTTTCTATCGCCCTACACCAACCCTACACCTAAACCTACCTCTCAAAGAAAACTTTTTTACAATCTCAAAAAAACTCATTCTGTATGATTTATAAGCTTCTGTACCCATGGGGACCTCAATATATATATATATATATATATATATATATATAAATATCAATCATCTTATTGAAAAACATCATACCAATGGGACAGATAAGTATTGTTATTCTGAAGCAGGACTACCCAAACAGGGTTTCGCAAACCATGATGGAATTGACTGCTTTTTTTTTTTATGAGTTGATGAAAATCTAATAAAAGCTGTTAAAGGGATTCGGATGACAAAAACAGGGAACTACTGTTGTGAAGTATTCCACATGCAGGTACTGACCCTTCCTGAGGACCCCCCTGACTGAGATCAAAGACCTGCCGAGGGTTCAGATACCACAGAAAGGACTGGATGATTTTAGCTCCCTTAGAGAGAAGGAGACAGCAGGAGGGAAATAGTTGATTTAGGTGATTATCCTTTTTATGGTTTATTTCATTATTATTAATATAATTAGTACTAAATAATTACTTAATAGCTTTGCTATAGCATGTAATTATAATACCTGGTTTCCTCCACTCTTTGGGTTTACAAACACCAGCAGTGGCTTCATGAGTTGAGAGGGAATTGGTCTCACAATGAAGGGCTTCCATCGAGCCTCCTGGAAAAGAAGAAAAAGAGAGAGACTAGGGGTGAAGATGTAAAAATCCAAAAAAGTGTTGCTTATTTAATTCAATCATTCTCTGGCAAACAAAAACAATTACTTGGTTGTACACGTACCTCTGCTCCTTTCTTGCTGGATTTGCGTTTGAAAGACGTTCGTTTCTTCTTTTTGCTTGACTTTAGTGAGGACTACGGTTAAAAAGTAGCGCAATAATATTACAAATGCACTCCACAGCAAAATCAAACACATTCATTAAAAACACAATGGAAAACTATAGTACCTATGGATGAAAAGATTTACATTTCAGCATAAAAATGCTCTCTGGTTCTATACGGTTTCTGAGCATTTAAAATTCACGGAAAACACAGAACAGCTGCCATTTTTTTCTTTAAACTTTTTACTTATTCTAATTTAGTGCTGAACAAAGAATGCTGTATTAGGGCTGGGCGATGTCAAAAATATCTTATCGATAATCGCCTTAAAAAATATCGCGATATCCGATAATATCGTCTACGTAAGCCCCACCTCCACCACGCCCCGCCCCCGCCGAGACAACATTGCCGACATGCACCATAAACACACACCATGTTCAGTTTGGTCTTAATTATTGCCACAAAGTTTGGTTTTACTTTTCTTAGTTTGGGCTTAAACTAAAAGAAAACATTAGCTTTGCTGTTATTTTGGTGTTGCTAATAATTTCCACTCTGTTCTTATCAAATTTGTGTTTGAAATGAATTTTGTTTTGTGAGGAGAACTGTTGAGGAAAAATAATAGAACCCAATTTTAAGTTCATCATGGTGAAGTTGGACATTCTGGCAGTGATTCTAAGAATGATAAATGCATGTTGATGTCATATAATAATGTCTTGAAAAAACTATGCCTTTTTTCCGATGTTTCTCTTTCGTTTTGGCATTATCGCCTGTGTAGACATTTCATGATGGTAAGTTTAATTTCCTTAATTATAACAATTGCAGCGTTGTTTTTAAACTTGTAGTCAAGCTATAACGTATTTGATATTTATCATGTATGACTAAAATCATGCAGGGATTAAAAACGAATTCTGAGCAAAAATTTTAAGTTTTTTTTTCTGGTAGCCTACTAGTTCGGAGGTCTCTTTTGGCCCGTTAATGAAATAAAAATAACTGCTTTATTTATTTAGAAGCAGGGTAATTTAAATGTAATTTTTGTATTGTCATTTTTATATTTTTTATTTTATTAATCAAAATACAACTCCCACAATACAAGTACATATCTCAGCTTAATTAAACATAATTATATTGTATACACGGTTTAAAAAATCTGTAAATATATTGCACTGAAATGTACGCTGAAGGAATTCGCGTATTTTAATTATACCTGTCATGTTTGTGGTTTTTCATCATTATACAGTCTGTTTAAATAAATATTCAGAAACACATGCAGTGCTACTATTTGTCTTTTTTTCTGTTTAACTTTAACTAAACTGCAGATAAAAATAAAATAGGCCTATACCCTAAATAAGGATCAATTATATTGGAACGCATCTCCAAAATAATCGCACACAGATGCATGTTGCCATTACAGTAGTCAGCGCCGAACAACAGGCAAATAAAATATAAACTGACGTTACAAAAGTGATTCAGTCAAGATCAGTGAGGGATTTTCTTTTCTTTTGTTCTTTGATTAACATTAATGAATGGCGACAGCGGCTGCGGTCAATGCACTGATCCAATACACCCTTGTTTTCTTTCTCAACTCTTTACGTTCACTTAAGACATAACCGATTGTATTTATGGTAGGGATGCACCGAAATGAAAATTCTTGGTCGAAGCCGAAACCAAACAAAATGAAACACTGGGCCGAAGGCACAATACCGAACACGGTTTTTCAAATTGTTTTGCCCATGTATTTTGACAATATTTTTTTTTTACCATTGCATAAATTAAATAGCCTAAATGTGCTTTTTACTGTTTTGTCTTGTTTTTCAAAGAAAAAAAATCAATTACACAACAATTTAAAAACATTTAACACTAAACATTTTTTAACATTCTAGCAGACATTATATCAACAAAGAACAATTTAATTTAAAATTAATAAGTTACTAAAATAATATTCTTTGGCGATCAGACCCCCTTCTTGAATCAGGCATGTATTCCTTTTATTTTGGCGGAAATGCGCAGGAAGACCTCAATGCTTCTTTTTGTTGACAGCAGATTAATAAATGAGTCTCATTACGAATACGCCGCACGTATCGCATTGTCACATGCCTTGTAAAAATTCATAAAAATGTGACTGAGCAACTGATTTGAGCAACTGAGCGCAGATTTTCGCTTTGGTCCGATCCAGATCCACCGCGAGTTAGTGCAGCGCTGTTAGAATACATGCAATTCGTGCGTGTATTAGAAAACATAACGTTCTACAATTTATTTACTAATTGATTAAGGCCATTTCAATCATCATACAGTAAACCAGCAACAATCACCCCTTCCTCTTCTCATGGAAGACATGTGATGCAGTACTAAACAGTCTCGCTGTCGGTGCTTGTAATGATTTTTGCGTCTTTCTCGGACAGTTTACATGCTTCCACACTGCTGACATGTGTGCTGCATTATAAAGAGGGCGCGCCTCTCACTTTATGCTGGTTGCTATTTGATAGCGTCACGTCATTGTTCGGTACAATTTATTCGGTCTTTTCGCTTATTCAAATAATTTCGGCTGCCGAACATTCGGTGCATCCCTAATTTATGGGATATTTTGATATAATTCTGAGTGTATTTGTCCATTCGAATGTGTAAGAACGCGAGAAAGAGAGCTCAGTCCAGTGTTCGTGTATATAAGAGGCGGCTTTTGTGTGTGCGCTTTGTGTGTAAGTGCACAGCACAGAAAACAGCGCATGAGTGCAGAAGTGAGTTCTATTTCGTCTTCTTGCAGTTTAATCTTTTGAAATCACAATAAATGCGCATACAGAAATCGAGAAGCAGAATCGAAATATGATTTTATTACAAGTAATTTGATTCCTAACCTTACGCATTTGATCTGATTTCCGAAACTGGAATAGCTTTTCGATTCCCAACCCTCCTACTAAATTATTTCATTCTTGCATGCAAAAAGACCTGTATGGTGACTATGGGGCTATGTAAAATATTTTTTGCAACTTACTTAAGTTTATCATATGTCATTTTTTTCCCAGATAATGTCGATAATCGTCTGTTACCTGACTGTTGACATCGCGATACTTACGAGACATCGTCGATATACGATATTATCGTCATATCGCCCAGCCCTATGCTGTATCAGACATTTTGTGTGTTGGAGTTTTTAAACAATTCAGTGAAGACAAAAACATTTCAGAACATAGTAAAACAGAGCAGAACATACTACAGAGCAATACTACACCACGATTTGAAGATTTAGATCTGTTTGTAGAAATGCTGCTCAGAGCATTGTAGCCAGAATGCCTTAGGGTTTGTACTGAAGGTGTTTATATTTAGCGTTTTACATTTAATTTAGCCATAGATATGCTGATAGCACTGCTTAATAATTTACACAGCCACCAAATTCAATTCATTATCTAATCCAATTTGTGGATGTTTCCCATAAAACTGCCCAACAACCCTAACAGAGTACCCTACCTGAGGTCTGCGAACCCGTATGATCCAGGTAGGAGGTACTATAACGGCGGCATGTGCTCCTAATGAACACGGTTCTTCTATCTGCTGCAGCATAAAGCATGTCACCTTATTATGATACTGCAAACAGACAGAGAAAGAGAGGACAGTTACACACATTTACATACTCTGCGATATGAAAACACACTAATGCAAACAGCTTGAGAGACTTACTGCTTGTTTGCACCAGGAGCAGCTAATGGCTATAATCTCTTTACTGTGAAAGGCAAATTTCTGCTGAAACCCCTGTAGGTGGAGATCAGATTCTGTTATAAGCTTTAGAATTCATTCATTAGCCTTTTGAAATGTACATGTAATACACACTCTTGCTGTGATCCAATCTACCCACCTTTCCACACTGTTTGCATTTGCCCTCTTGTCTTCTCCGATGGACCCAGTGGTGTCGCACTATCGCTGGCTGCCATAAAAAACACAAGATCTCATTTAGCTGTGCCATCCATAGATTATGACAAGCTGTGCTTAAAATGCCACATCAAACCAGTAATGTTGTGGGTTATTAAGATCAAATCTGAGGTTTGGGATATGGTATGAACAGGAGCAGACAGCAGAACAGAAATCAGAAGAACACAAGACCTCTGGATATGCATTCCAAATGCCTGTAAACTGAGTTGAATGCCATGATGAAATGCCTGTATGAGTGTGGGAAAATGTATACTTAAATACTTTGGTACAAACTCCCTTAGACATACCCATACGAAACAATGTTTCAGATTTTTTAAGTTATAAAAATAAAGTATAAATTAATTATTATTAACTTATCTATCAATACGTTTTTGTAGTTTTTTAGGGTTAAGGGTTATAGTTTGGGCTTACACAATGTACCAGACGTGAGTGGCACAATGTGACGCAACGCGACTATAGAAAATAGAGTTCACTATAATATAACTATAATAACTATAATGCCCCCTTTCAATTTCTCCACGTGATTACATTACTTCAGACAACAGTACAAATAGATTTGAAACTTTCACACAATGTTCATTTACATATACTAATGACATTGTAACAATACAAAGCTGGTTTAATTAATTAATTAATTACAAATTTGTACATGTCATTGTGTTTAGTTGTGAATTTGTTTAAATTGAGTAAATTTCACTAAATTTATTTGTGAATCATTATCTATTTATTGTGAACACAAAACAATTCTAATCCAAACGAACTAGTTAGTTTGTCGTAATTGTAATTAGATTTATTTAAAAACAACAGAAATGTACGAGCCCTCATTTAGCCAAGTAAAGGTGTCATCACAGCTGTGTGAATGTGTGTGTGATACCTGTGTGATAGAGGTGTGCACATTACATTTAGCTGCAGCACCTCTCATTTGCTCCAAAGCACGGTGACCTCTGAAAGCCCTGCGTCGCCAGGTATGCTAACCCACCAAGGCAAGATGGGAGACAGGAAGAGACAAGGCACACAGAGGAGCAGAAGTGCAATGGAGAGAAAAGGATGAGGAGACGAGGGACGGATTACAGCAGTGAGAGTGACATAGGGGATGCGTAAAAAGGAAAACAGAGTAAAAAGGGTAAAAGAAAGATTTAAACAGCAAACAGCACCTGCCCCTGAAGTGTGTGTGTAAAACAGTCTGGGATCATTCAGACAGCTGCATAGAGCTACTTACAAATCTTAAACTTACAAATAACAATGAAGAAAACGAAGAACTTATCTTAAAAATGTTATTTATAAATAATAAAAATAAAATGACAAAAAAAAAAAAACTGTCTTTTAGCACACTGCTGTTGGCTGTTTATATCAAGCTATGAAGGTGTAATGTGGTGTTTTGGGTTGCGTTTCTTGTTCATGTTTTCATGTCTTTTATTTTGTAGTTTGATTCCTGCTATTAGTGTCATGCTTCCCTTGCCTCATGTCTCTCTGCCTTGTGTATGTGTCATGCTCTCATTTGGTTATTGTCTAGTCATGTGATTCCCTTGTCTGTGT